AATATCCTAAAGTTGCTAGTCTCAGAGAGATGAAAAGAATCAGAGCTGAGAACAAAGAACACTTTGCTCACAAAGGTGAGGGAATTAGTCTAAGAAGGAAAGGGAAGTTATCTGTGGTTATGAGTTCCACCTACACATTGATACAAATATATCTCTCTTGAGCCCAGGGTTGAATACATTTACTTTATTCAAGTTTCTTTTATTGGCAAAAGCGGTATCCCCCAGAAGTATTTCTCAAAATCATATCGATAAGTGTTTCTTGAGAAAAGAAACTCCATGATCAAATAAGTTTAGGAAGTGATGAGGTAAGAAAAATTTCTTACTGCAGAACTTTAAAAAAGTAAACACTAAGCGTGACCCTCCAAACTATGGGGGCATTTCTGAAACTTATTTGAACAAGATATTCCCCTCTTTATTCCTCCCTACCCAGCCCCAATCTGTAGCTTTTCATGGAATTAGAATTCTGTGAAACATAGTTTTGGAAACTTTGACCTACCCTCTAAGAGCCTGGATGCTGGAAATCAGATCTGAGTGTATGTTCCTACCTTAACACTTACTAGCTGAGTGATACTAGACAATTTAAGTTGTCCTATGTCTGTTTGCTTACTGGTATAATGGGATAATCACCCTCTCGGGTCGGTGTGAAGACTTATTGAGATAACTTATGGAAATGTTTGGCACGTAGTGAGTACTCAGTAAACACTAGCTGTTACCTCCTTGTTATTCTACGATTTGAACCTTAACTTGCTTATGAAAAAAGCGGAAGCCTAAGGGTGGGGAATCTTATAACCCAACCAAAGTTAATGAAAGTAATGGAAAGGTTTTAAATGGGAACAAGTGGTTTGAATTCTGCCCCCCCTTGCTGGGACAGCTGGTATAATCTCCAGAGGCTTACCCTGCCTTGTCATTGTCTTAACAGGTATGCATCTTACGTATCACCGAAGCCTTTCTCAACAATGTCTTCATTAACTCCCTCACTGGCGGTTTGCAATAATTTCTTCTTGTACACTTTATAGCCTTTTTTCTGTATCTTTTGTTAGCACTTACCACTTGCTACTGTGAATCGTTATTTATGTGCTGCTGTATTTATTTCCCTAAATGGCATCCTTTTAAGGGCAGGGTGCACATACTGTCCCGTGTTTGTAAGCACAATACAGGGATTTGCTGTATTTGCTACGTATTTATCAAAGGAAAAACATGCTATCACTTTATAGTTCACAGAGTGGCTTTCTAGTGACAACATCAGTGTAAATGAATATAGGAGCAGTTGATTTTCTCCAATTAGCAGAGGTCTATGAGTAGGGAGCTCTTTCTGAAAGTAATTTCTGTCAGAGCATCATTTGCTGCCCTCCTGTGTTTGATATGAATACTATTTTACACCAGAACAAAAAAAGAATAACTTGCTCAATTAAATTTATTTAGACTGCATTTTGTTTACTTTCAAATCCTTGAATCAATTTTTCCCCATAGAAATTATTTTTCTTTGCCCCATTAAAATTATCTTTATTCAATACATTTCAAGCTACTTTTTCACTTAAGAGTTATACAGTATATAAGAACTTTTCATATTGGTCTGATACTCCTTCAGTATAATCTACTTAACTGGTTATATTTTCTTTTTTTTAAATCTGAGACAATAACTTATATCAAATTATTCTGATATGATTTTTTACGTATTAGACCTCCTTGGGTAACAGTATATTTAAGACTGTATTTTGGAGCTAGAAAAGCCTGGTTCAAATCCCAGCTTAGTCACATAGTAATTGTATAACTTTGGGCAAATTACTTGTCTGAAACTTTCATCTGTAAAATAAAGGTAATACCTCTTGAAGACCACGTAAGATAAAACACTTCACGCACCCCATAAAAGATATTCTATTTAGGAAGCATGTTTTCAAATCTTTTTTTCCTTTGGCATTACCTATTTTGGTGAAGTTGAAAACTGCATAAGGATATGAATTAGAATGACCCAGCCTATTATCTGGATTAAGTTCTGTTTTTCCATATTGAATGTGCGAAATTGAACTCTGTGATGTGCCAGGCACTGTTCTAAACACTTGGCCTTGTGCAGCCTGATAATATAAATCCTAGCCACCTCATGAAGTCTTTCTCTAAGTTACTAATTTCCCTTTAGATTCTTGTAGGTCTTATTGTCCACTTTACTTACTGGATTCTTTATACAAGCTACCCTAGGTTATGTTTCCAGTCCCTTCCTCTCTATTTCCAGTGCAGGTTGTCATCTCTCTACTGCTACAGCCTCTACTTAGGGATGGGGGCTCACTCTCATGCCACTTTGTATACCTTTATTAAGTTTTTTAAGGATGGGGATTTATAGCTTGAATCTCTTCTACACTTCAACATAAGCATTAGCATTGATACTTTTAATTGCTGACAATTGCAATCTATTCTCTGTGGCACCATCTCAGGCTTTTCTCAACGCAGCAGACAGAAGGATCCTCTGAACCAGCAGGTCAGTTGGTTTTCCTTGAAGTGATATCCCTTTTCATTCATTTCTTGGGAAAATGCCTACAAAACACTCAAGTCTAAACAGCCGTATTTTAATCTATTGGTTTTTCCAAGCAAAAATGATGGGAATTTCAGGAAATCTGCGAATTGAACACCATTTTCATAATATGAAGATTTGCTGTTTTTAGCATTTGTACAGATGAAACAAAAGCAGCAGAGAGTAAACGAGCACTTAGCATGAATCAAGGTAGCGGCATCAAACTAGAAGCAGTCTTTGTAATTTTCCATTGGCACTCATTCCCAATAAAAACAAACAAAACCAAAAAGTCAACTCAGTTTCACTTGAAAATGTCCTTTACGCAGTAAAAAGTAGTAATTTTATGAAGTCTTAGCCCTTGAGGGCACATGTTTTTAAATATTTTGTGTGACAAATTGGTAGTGTGCATAAAGCATTTCTGCTGCTGCCAAAGTACGATGGTTTTAAGGAAAAGCCCTTATTATTTGAATTGCAAACTGAACTTTTTTCTTTTCTTTTCCCTCAAGGAACACCATTTTTACTTGGATGATTGACAAACAAGTTACTCAGAACTGGGTACTTGGCAGACATTTTCTTGAAAATGAACCAAGCAGGACTGTCGCTTCGAGGGAAACACAAGTATTTGCTACCAGGGATTAAATTGAAGCTATCAAGCAAAACTTAAAATTGTGGAAAACTCACACCATCACTGTGAGTTTTTCAGCTTCCAATACTGTAAGACTTTCCTGATGAGATCAGTGGTGATATTAGTAAGTGTGATTTTTTAATACGTATGAGATGTGTCAAAATTGGAAGACCTCTATTTCTCAGTGAGCCAATACTTTCCAAATCAGGGATACATGACATTACAAAATCAAAGTTTAAGATAGATGAATGAATTCTAATGTAACAGAATGAAAGTTCATTGATAAGGGGAACCTGGGTGGCTCAGTTGTTAAGCATCTGCCTTTGGCTCAGGTCATGATCTCAAGGTCCTGGGATCCAGCCTTGCATTGGCCTCCCTGCTCAGCGGGAAGCCTGCTTCTCCCTCTCCCGCTCCCCTTGCTTGTATTCCCTCTCTGTCTCTCTCTGTCAAAGTAAAGAAATAAAATCTTAAAAGAAAGAAAGAAGGTTCATTCATCAGATTCCATGTTATAACAAGTTTTAAGAAATTACCACTTGTTGGAATTTTTCTAGAGAATTAAAGATTATCTACAATTATTTGAAAGGGCTATTAGAATATTCCTCCCTTACCACATATTTTTGTGAAGTGGATTTTTCAAACTTCTACCAAAACTTCATATCACAATAGTTCAAATATAGAAGCAGATAGGAAAGTCTAGTTGTTTTCTATTAAACTTGACTTTGAAGGTATCTGCAAAACTGTTAAAAAACAAAACAACAACAGCAAAAAAACCCCAAAACATTCTTCTCACTAAATTGCTTTTGGAAAAATAGTTATTTTTCATAAAATGTTTTTGCTAACATGTAATGGTTTTGTTATTGTTATCTTTAAGCAAATTACTAAATACTTTAAAATTTTGGTTTAATTTCTAATTTGGTGAGTATCAACAGGTATAACCCTCATATACAGACTCTGTGGGGTCTTCCAAGAATTTTTAAGACTTTAATTGAGTCCCATGGCCCAAATATTTGAGAATTACTTATCTAAAATATGTCAGATCATGTTCTTTTAATAAAACCATTACTCCCAATGGTTCCCTATTTCCCTCAGGATAAAAGTCACAAGTTCTTGCACTGGCCTACCAGGCTCTTCTCTTATCTGTTCCTCCTCCATTACCTATCCCTCTACTCTTCCCCTTGCTCACTCCCTCCAGCCACATTTACCCCTGATGTTTCTCCAATAAGCCAGACACAATTTCAGTATTAGCACCATTGTCCTGGCAGTTCCTTCCGCCTGGAAAACAATTCCCCCAGTTTTCCCCATGGCTATTTCCTTAAAGTCTTTGCTTAAGTGTAACCATCTCAATAGTCTAACATAAGTAGCTTGTTTAAAACTGCAAACGTACTGCTACTCCCATCCAGCACAACACCTTCTAATACTTGCTTGTTTATGCCTACAACTTGTGCAGCGTCCCCCGTCCCCAAGTAAAACATAAGCTCCAAAAGCGTGGCAAAATGGCCCCCACAGAGAACTCAAGAAATATGTTGAATGAATGAAAGAACTCGTTTGACAGCTTGTCATTTTTCAGGGACCTGTCCAGAGTCCCAAGAGGATGCAACTTACAGAGAGAGGAGTGGACAATGCTAGCAAAGATCTTTTGAGTGGAAGAAAATGAAGTAGGGACACAGTGATCACAACCTCGACAGGGAAGGCGTTAAGGGCTTGACAAAAGGTCTTGGCAGAGTGTGCAAGGCGTATTTAAGTGTCTGGCAATGAACGCTGCCCTTGTGCTTAAGTCCCCCACCTCCCGCCTCTTCCGTCTCCTATGAAACCAAAGTCCCCAGAGCCTTCCCTGGACCCCTCCACCCGAACACAAGTAGGTCACACCAAAGAGGCTGAAAAATTTCTAAACTTTATGGAAAAATCAAAGACGACAATCAACTAGCCAAAACGGAAGCCTCCAAATCCCGTCTCATTCCAATGCCGTCTCTCCTCTGTTGCTGGCTTTAGGATGTCTCCACCGTCTCAGTTCTCCGGGGTCCCGACGGTCTCCCAATGCTGTGTTCCGAAGGGTCCACAGGAAGGCAGGTCAGGCGGGTCGCCCCCAGGTAAGCCCTTCTGTACAGAGAAGGCACGAGAAACAGGAGCAATGGAGAATCGGTCCACTTGGGGCAGGAACACGCGGGAATGACGGCAAACGGGAGGAACTCAGGACAGGCTCCCGCACAGCAGTGACAGAACGAGGGTCTCAGTTCTCCTCCGGCTTGTCGGCCGGCGGTCCGCAAGGCTGCAGCATCTTCTCCATCAAGTTGAAGCGGACTCGAGCTTTGCTCTCATTCTCCGCAATGGCGAAGTAGTTGAGAAGGTCGAAGTGGCCCATGTAGGAGCAATAGGAGTCGCGGTGCTGGTTGACCAGCCACTCCCACTTGGTGGTATCGGCGTGGCCCGTGCCGATGTACTTGGACTGCAGGTGCTCCAGTTGGCTGTGGATGGTGTAGCGGTCAGTCATCTCGCCGTTTTCCCTTAGCTCCCAGGTCAGAGGCCACACAGAAAGACCGGCTCTAGATTTTCACGCGGGAGAGAGGCTACAGCACGGAGCCCCAGGCCGCTTAGTCGCAGGAAAATGACGTCACAGCTACGAAGATGCGTGGACTCGCGGTCCTAGGGCTCAGAGGTGGAAGCGGAAGTGTATTCTGTCGTGGCATTGGAGTTGCCTAGGCGACGCTAAATGTCGGCTGCCCTCCCATAGAGAGCCCCTCCCCCTTCGTAGAGCGTTGCATTATGGTTCATTTAGTGACCTTTTTTCTAACGGGGAGCATTGCATGCCGGGACTTGTGGTCTCCGACGGATCGTGAGCGCCGGTTTCTGGGACCCGTCGTCTTGGTTTAAGAACGCACCTGCGGGGGCGCCTGGGTGGCTCAGTGGGTTAAGCCGCTGCCTTCGGCTCAGGTCATGATCTCAGAGTCCTGGGATCGAGTCCCGCATCGGGCTCTCTGCTCTCTAGGGGAGCCTGCTTCCTCCTCTCTCTCTCTGCCTGCCTCTCTGCCTGCTTGTGATCTCTCTGTCAAATAAATAAATAAAATCTTAAAAAAAAAAAAAAAAAGAACCCGCCTGCGGCCTAAAGGACCGCGAGAGCATCCTTGGGAGGCTGAGAGCTGAGAAGAAATGGGAAGCTCATGTAGGACAGGCCACAGGCAACCGTGAAAGCAAACGGTATAATTTTGATTTCGGAGCGAATGTGACAGCCTGGAAGTCCCTTCACAGCCAAGGGTGGGCCCCCCTGAAAATCAGTAGACGCCAGTTCTAGTCCCAACTATGTGTCTTATAAGTTGTGTAGAATGAACGTTATTACAACGCTCCCAGGGCCGCCGTTTCCTGCCCGGTGACCGAAGTACTCTACCAGTTCTGACACGTTCCGGCTCCCACACCAAGCCCCTCCTTCCTCACCAGCTGAATTTGATATCCTCGCTGCAACTCCTCACCCCACCCTACGCACCCCGGCCAGTGTTTCTCAACATTCCGTGCAGCTCGCCTCTCCAGTTCTTTGTACTAGATGTTCCCTGCGCTTGGAATGCTTTTGTTCCCTTGGCAAACAGCGTCTCTCTTTAAGTCAGCTCAAAAGCATCTCCTTGAAATCGGCTTTGGCCACACCAAACAGATGTAAATTCTTTCTTTTTTGTTTCTTGGACATCTCATTATTATAGCTTTATACCCTACTTTTTGGCTTGAGAACTTCCTCATGTGAATTCAAACCACTTGAGAAAAGTAATTTGTACTTTTTTGATGCCATCTTTTATCATATGCTTCTTTTATGATATCTTTTTATAATATCTTCATGGCTCAGCAGAGTTTGTAGTCCCCCCAAAATTTGATGAATGGATGAACAACTGTCTGGCAGCCATACAGAAGGAACTCTTTACTGGGAGAAAGATAACTTTAAAATAGTTTTATTCTGATACAAAGTTGCAGTTATGTACAGATGAGTAAGTTTAGAGATCTAATGTACAGCATGATGACTAAAGTTAATATTGTACTGAATATTAGAGTAGATTTCAGGTGCTCTGACCACACACACACACACACACACACACACACACAAAGGTAGCTGTGAGGATATGGATATGTTAATCAGTTTGACTCTAGTAATCATTTCATTATGTATATATATCAAATCATGTTGCACTCCTAAAACAATTTTTATTTTAAAAAAAGTTTTAAAGGAAAATGATAAAAAATATTCCTTAAGCGATCAAATGCTTGTGCCAAAAACAAAACAAAGAAGTCTTATTCTTTGGTTTAAACCATGTTATAATAAAACATTTCATCCCTAAAATGTAGAGAGTACTATAAGACATAACCTGTGGATTCACCATCTGGATATATCAAAGCTTGCAATTTTGCTATTGTTGTTTCCAACTTTGTTGGTTTCGGTTTTCAAAGAAATAAAACTATACAAATAAAGTTGAAGTTCTCCCATTCCCCTCCTTAATCTACTTACTTAAGGAAACCAGCTCGAATTTAGAGTTAATCATTCGCAAGTCTGGTTGGTTTTGGTTTTGTTTTTGATTGCTGAAAATTTTGTGTATCCAAGTGGTTATTTTTATGCATGTTTTGAAGCTTTACAGAAACGACACCCTATGGGGGCACCTGGGTGCTGCTTCCGCCTCTTTCTCTGCTGCTCTCCCTGGTTGTGCTCCCTCCCTCCTCTCTCTCTGTGTCAAAAAAATAAAATAAAATAAAATAAAAATAAAAAACGACACCCTGTAGGTATTTTCCCTCATCAGAATCCATGTTGATGTAGTTTATATGTAGTTTTAGTTCGTTTTGCCTGTTGTATAGTATGCTGTTGAATTAATATACTGTTGTATGTCCATTATCTCAATAATGGACATTTAACTTCACATCTTTGCCATAAGAAGCAATACTGCAATAAATATTCTTGCACAGATATTCTTATACACATGAAGAAGTTTCTTTAGGGTATACATATAGGTAAAAATTTGTTGAAACATAGTGATGAGTATCTTCAACTTTGCTTGTTATTGCCAAATTGCTCTCCACACTGGTTATACCAATGGGCTTTCCCAGCAAGAAAATGAGAATTTCTTTTGATCCATATCCTTTGCAAAACTTGGTGTCCTCAGACATTTAAAAAATTTTTCTGATTCAGTGGGTGGAACAGAATTTCATTGTATCTTTAATTTGCAATCACTGCTTACTAGGGACACTGAGCATGTTTTTTATCGTTATTTACTTATTTATTTAAAAATATTTTATTCAGTTATTTGAGAGAGAGAGAGAGAGAGAGAGCATGGTGGGGAGGCTTGATCCAAAATCCTGGGATCATGACTTGAGCTGAAGGCAGCTGCTTAACTGACTGAGCCACCCAGGCACCTCTAGGCATGTTTTTTATGAGTTTATAGGTCCATTATATTTCTGGCTTGTGAATTGCATAGTCATATTCTTTGACAATTTTAAAAATTGGGATGTTTGTCTTTTTCTTAATAATATTTTAGGTGATCTTTATATATTCAGAATACCAGGCTTGCTAGTTATATGCAATAAAAGTATTTTTTTTCCAGTCTGTGATACATCTTTACACTTTATCTATGGTATCTTGTACAGTAATTAAATTTAAAGTAGTGAAATGTATCAGCCTTACTTTATGATTTATGCTTTTTTGCAATTGGATTTAAAAAATGAAATCAAGCATAACTCTTTTTTTTTTAAAGATTTAATTTATTTATTTGACAGAGAGAGATCACAAGTAGACAGAGAGGCAGGCAGAGAGAGAGAGAGAGAGAGAGAGAGGGAAGCAGGCTCCCCGCTGAGCAGAGAGCCCAACGTGGGACTCGATCCCAGGACCCCAAGACCATGACCTGAGCCGAAGGCAGAGGCTTAACCCACTGAGCCACCCAGGCACCCCATAACTCTTTTTTTTTTTTATCCTAGGGCTATAAAAAGTAGTTTCTTTAATTTCATTCTTAAAGTTTTATAATTTTGACTTTTTATATTTAGAAATTTAATCTACCTGGAAGTTTTCACTTTGATTTGTTTGGCCTATTTAGGGATCTAATTTTCAAACATTTTCCTATATGGCTAACTAGTCCCCAGTAATAAGGATCATTCAGTAAATAGTACAACATTTCCCTACTCATCAAACTTGATGAGGGCTCGATCCCAGGATGCGGGGATCCATGACCTGAGCTGAAGGCAGGTATCTAACTGACTAAGCCACCCAGGGGCCCCCAGCAATTCTTGATCCTTTGCCCTTTCACATGAATTTAGAGTTGTCAGTAAAATCCTCATGGAATTTATGATTACATAGTCAAAGCCAGGGAAATTAATAATTCCATATCATTAAGAACGATTCTAAGGATATGAGAGAATTCCTCAAATTCAAAGGGCTTTAGAACTAGATGGAAAATACATTTACATGTAGTAATTAAGAGCTAAGGTGTATTAGTTTGCTGGGGCTGCCCAAGCAGAGTACCAAAGACTGGGTGCCTTAAACAATAGAAATTTATTCCCTCATAGTTCTAGAGGCTAGAAATCCAAGATCAAAGTGATGGCAAGATTGGTTTCATTCTGAGGCTTCTCTCCTTGATTTGCTGATGGCCGTCTTCCCTCCCTGTCCCTCTGTATGCCTGTGTCCTAATCTCCTCCTCTTTTTCTTTTTTTTTTTTATTTCTGCATTTTATTTTTAATTATTTTTTATTAACATGTATTATTTGTTTCAGAGGCATAGGTCTGTGATTCATCAATCTTACGCAGTCCTCTTCTTATAAAAAGGTCAATCATATTATATTAATGTCCACTCATATGACCTTATTTTACCTAAAGGCCCTGCATTCAAATGCAGCTACATTGAGTTACTGGAGGTTAGGACTTCATCAATTCAGTGGTAATGGCTTTATAAAGTAATGAGGAATAAATAAGAACACTTTTTTTTTACATATTTGTAGATTTAATTAATTAGATTTGTGAATACAGGGGCGCCTGGGTGGCTCAGTGGGTTAAGCCGCTGCCTTCGGCTCAGGTCATGATCTCAGGGTCCTGGGATCGAGTCCCGCATCGGGCTCTCTGCTCAGCAGGGAGCCTGCTTCTCTCTCTCTCTCTCTCTCTCTCTCTGCCTCTCTGTCTACTTGTTATCTCTGTCAAAAAAAAAAAAAAAAAAATTAAAAAAAAAAAAAAAAAAGATTTGTGAATACAGTTTACATACATGAAAAAACTTTGTTAAGTCAGACAATTGCAATACTTATAAGGAAAATGCAACATATTACATTAATAAATGTGGTTTAAAATGTTTAAGAGTAAAAATTTGGGGTGGAACTAAATTTTATCAAAAATTCTCTTGAGAGGGGCGCCTGGGTGGCTCGGTGGTTAAAGCCTCTGCCTTCAGCTCAGGTCATGATCCCCGGGTCCTGGGATAGAGCCTGGCGTCGGGCTCTCTGCTCTCTCTCTCTGCCTCCTCCTCTTCTCTCTCTCTGCCTGCCTCTCTGCCTACTTGTGATCTGTCTGTCAAATAAATAAAAATCTTTAAAAAAAAAATTTCTCTTAAGAGTGATTGTGAAATTTTGTTAGACTTATGAATAGTTTAGGATTTTTAACTGAGCTTACAAGCTTATGGAAAAAAGGCAGTTTTTTGTTTAATAGCTTTAATAAA